AATTGAATAACTGGTAATTAATATACTTTATCACAATGATGCAAAAATCATATTGTACAAAAATCCAATATTGACATAGTTGTCCACAGTGACCTAATTAAAACAGTGATATTAAATGGATTTTAAGTGTGAATAAAAACAATAAGACAAAATCCTGAGGAAAAATTGTATCGCCTGAAGCTACTTTTCAAGTGTAAAAGCACATAACGCAAATGGTAGACAACACATAACATATGCATGATATGCCTTATTGCTCATATTCTCGCTGTACATGCTCCCATTAGGAAACCTTAATGGGATATCTTATCATTCCTATGCTGATGACACCCAAATATACTTGTCCTTCAAGCCAGACAACATTAGCCGCGTGAGTGTCCTAACAGAGTGCCTATCCGCCCTTAAGGGAATGGATTATCTTTGGTCCCGACCAGGTAGACCCCTATCATTTCTCAGTCCCCTGGCAGCCAATATTCAAACAACAGCTAAAAATGTAATGCCACATTCGATCCCCATCTAAACTTCAAAACACATGTTAATCAAATCATTAAATCTTGCTACTTCCATCTACAAAAAATGTCTAAAATCAAATCGGTTCTATCCCTTGCTGATTTAGAAAAGGTAATACATACCTTTGTTTTCTTCGCCTGGATTATTGCAACGCCCTGTATACATGCCTCAGCCAAACCCTGGTAACTCGTTTGCACTCGTTTCAGAACGTATTTTAACAAAGAGGCTCGAGGCTCTGGAACTCCCTGCTGGATGAGATTAGACTTGCAAACAATACCGATCTTTAAATCACTGCTCAAAACTTATTTTTACAGGAAAGCATTTCTAACATGAGACTTTCATCACAATAGTCAGACTTATAGAGTTCACGTATGATGTTCTTGAGCTCTCTCTCCGCTCTCCTGACCCCATCACCCCATCTCTCTCTGTCAGATTTACCTTGAGCCTCTCTCAACGTTATTGTGATTATTGGGCTGAAACACTTGATGACACCAAGGTACAATTGAAGATATTATTTCATTACAACAACCAGTCTTAAATAGCTGATGGTTAAACTGCTTCGTGGCCCAAAAAATTTAACTGCATTGAAAACCTTTTATTATGATTTATTCTTCTTCTAGCCATGGATTTTATAATTTTTCCTGTGAAGCCCTTTGTAACTTTGTTTAAATAAGTGCTATACAACATAAAAGTATCACCATTTTCCAGTTCCAAGTCAACACACAGTGGTTTCCGATCTAATCTGGTCAATAACAGAGTGGGAATTCAAGATCAATTTCAGCAACATAAAATGATTAGTGGTGAATTGTTATCATTAGTGGTGAGTCAGGATCATTTCTATCATAGTATCATAGGGTCCTATGTCTCAGACCCTGACAAAGATAAAGCTTTTAGAGTTGAAGACATTACTAAATAATGTCCATTAATGTCTTATCTCTATTTTGTGTCGAAGTGCTAGTGTGAGAAATTGTTAAAGCTACAATGGATACAGTATTAGGACGTGTTAATAGAAATATTCGATCTAAGTTGGATCTATGATTTAATTTTCTGATTGTTTCTAAAACCAAAACATTAAACTCAACAAGGATTACTGAACTCTAGAGATCTTAAGAGTATGTGAAATAAAAACTGAAAAGGTTAAAAAGAACTTTTAGTTCGACATGGACAGGTTAACAGGTTTGTTTTTAGAGACTCACTGTAGCTGACACAAGGTTGAATTAGCTTTGTCCAGAGCTTCAAATTGTAACCCATGACCTTATCAAGGAAATTGAGCTTTAAGTAAAATACAGGACTCACTCCCCTAAACCAAGCACATTATCAGGACTGTGCTTAGATCTCATGATACAAACTGCAAATTAATTTGCTGAAGAAGGCTGAAGGATAATATTGTTGAAATTTCTGGAAAAATCTTCATAAGATCCTGAGTTTACAGTACTTGATCATTGGGGCCATAAACAATTCTGATTCCAACCTCTGTAGAGAGAGGTCTACCTAGATGAGCCAAAAACCTTTGCATTATTTAGATCTGATCCCCCGAGCTCCTGATGACAAACGCTAACCCAGCAACCCACGTCTACAAGTAGTGAAGTGAGTAGGCATCAGGTTATAGGTTCGATATTGACCTGAAAGAAGAAGAAGCCACTGGAAATGTTGCTGTTTCCATGGCACAGTAAATGCACTTCCATGTGTTACAGAATACAATGAGAGTTATACAGCACCATCAGTAACAGGCACGAAAATAAAAAGACAAAAGACCTTAAATCACTTCATAATTATACCTTAGAAACCTATATAGAAGTAAGGTCTACCATCATCACTTGAAAACATTAACTTTTGCTGTGATAACAAATAAAACAGAGAGCTCAGACTTGGCTTAGTTTGTGTTTACTAGAAGCCATTTGGTCCCTTGGCCATTTCACATGTGGCGCTGGCACGCCAGCTTGACTGCCGATTGAGCAACAATCTGTCTCTTCCCACAATGTGTTTGTAACACAGCACTGTCTGTTTATAAAAAATATGAGGAATACTTTCGTATGTCACTGTTCCTCAATAATAAAAAACAGCCACTAAAACAGAAGAATAGGCAGCACATGGAATTAAAAGAGTTCACACCCTTTATGTCAGTTCAGTTGCATTAAAAGACGATGTGCCTATACGAAATGTCACATACTGTTTATATCTAGTATGCTTAAGAGTGTAGGTCTAACAAAACCAGAATAATATAAGCAGTATGTTCTTTTAGAAGCCCAGATATATGAAAGCAAGGACATGACAATATTTATTTTTTGGCCTTTGCAATATAAATCTGATACAAATAATTATGTGAATAAGATACCTTCCTAATTCCCACTCATGTATGTTTCTTCTGGTACTTTTGATTAGTGTCTGCTTTCTTCTACAATTTAAATACCTGGAGCACACAGTGTTTAAAAGTTCTTGGCTGGCATTGGTTATTCTGAGCATCTTGGGGAACTTGTCATAGATCCTGTGTGGACACCATAATGTTGAGCTCAGGGTCTGTGGGGACCAAACCATCTGTTGCACAACATCGTGTGCTTCTTGTAGCTGTTTTTGTTTAAATCTGGCTCTCACATTTAAGGTTGCTGTAATGCTCCGAAATTCTTTTGTGACTGATCCGATGCCTCCTATATTGTATGTTGGATAATACAGTAACGTATATCATAGAAGCACTTATTTCAAGTATAAAGGAGGTTACATATAAATAAATATACAATAAGTAAGCTAAAATAATTGAAGACCACTTTGTCCTATTTTAGCAACGCAGTATATTAAGCCCAAATAATTGTTTTACATCTGTTCTTTGACATTATTCACAGAATAAATAAAAAAATCAGATTCCTGTGAGTTTGTTATACTTTACTGATGTTTCTCAAATATTCACAGATCCTTATAAACGCCACTCTGGCAGATTTGCCATTGGAATTGTGCTCTCAGGGAAACTGACCTGATGAAAAAGAGGAGCTGACAGATAGTGACCATGTAGCACACAGCCCCAGGCAGCCCAGATGCCAGCAAGAACATGCTACATTTATTCAAAAGGAGAAAGAAAAAGTTACATGGAAGAAATAAGTGGGAAGTGAAGAAGAGGCCATCACAGCAGCGTTCACTGAAGCAATGAAGAATGATTGCAGAAATGGATAAAAATAAATGCACAAGATGAAGACAAAGATGGAGTTCTAGTTGCACATAGCACATACATTACATTTTGCATTCCACATTTCATAAGACCATGAGGAATGTGCATTAAATATTATCTTATAATGAACACTGTATCCTAATTCAACTAATATAGTGTCCTTTGGTAATAGTTTCAGGGTTATGTCACCGTCACGCTCAGAAACTTCACCAACCATGAATGTTGAACAATCAATCCATTAGTGATGCCTCAAAGAATCTGAGATTGTGTGACACTAAAGTATTATTAAGATGAATAACCATACATGTGAATTATCAGTTTTTGTTGTGCAGCCACAAACCAGTCAGACAGCAATTGAGGAATACAGCTGACAAATAGCATGACATATTAGCGTAGGTAGGGAAGAGCCATTCCCAGGAAAGAAGTCACCGAGATGAAGATGTGATAAAATAATTTTTACTATAATTGTTCTGTCTTTTTCCTCTGCTAACAATTCCATTTTGGAAATATTAAATTGCATCCTGGTCTTTGACATATATGATTATCAGTGAGGCATGGCTTCTGTGACATGCTCGTTAAATTAATGTTGTTTCCTTCATACATTAGTTACAATAAGCCCACAATTAACTGTATAGGTCTATGAATGAGCTCTAATTAATTAAAGTCTACATTACCCAGATAATATCTTTCCTTACTTTCTTTTGCCTTTCCTTGTTTATGCCAACTGCCTGGACATTCTGTGCTTGAAACAGCAAAACCACTGAAAAGTGGGTGACCTTTTAATAAAATATTTTTAAAAAAAACACATTAGAATTTCTATCGCTCACCTGCTATGCTAAATTCGTTTTGGTGTAAAGGTCACATTTGTTTGTTTGCTAAAAATACGATACTGCATGGTTAAAATGTGAAAACAGTGGAAAGGAAAACGAGCCGAATGAGATTCAATCTAGTTAATAAAACAGATTGAACTAAAACTGGGGTTAAACTTCACTTGAGGTATGGATCGGGAAGTTGAGTTTGAAACTTTCCCCTTTGACAGATAAGTTTACCCTTTTCTTGTCTTTACGCCAGGTCAGTCAGCTTTTTCCAAAGCTCTGCACACAACGTCCAGCAACACAAACAATAAAAAGTGACCGTTTTTGTACAACTGTTTAGGAAGGACTCACACAATGACAAGGGTAAACTCTGGAACATTGACATAGGCTAAGCAAAAAGCCCAATCAAAACAGGTAGGTTTAGAACGGGCACTGTACTATGGATAAGTCAGGCGTGCACATATACTTTGTGAATTAATCTTATACAGCGTTTTTTTCTCTCTGCTAATGTTTGACCTTACCTGCCACACCACCGGTTCCATGTGATCAGCTGTAGTGGAGAGGCAGACGCTCAACACAATGGTGTGAGAGGCGGAGGTCAGGACACTGGCGATGATGGCCTCCCGCATGGAGAACGGCAGCATGGTGTAAACCACGAACACAATGAACAGGAAGAACGACACCTGTGGAGAGGATGATTTAAGAAAAAGGGAGAGGTATCAATGAAAGAGAAAGTACAGATGCAAACAAAGTATCTGTGCTGACAAATCTGTGAGGGAAGAAACAGCATCACCCAAGATGTCTGAATACCATGAACACTGCTTTTTGAAGTGAGGTTTATTTAGAGGAAAAAAAATCAGGCCTGCTCTGGGATGCGTTTCATGTCCAGTGACTCAGTAACGGGAAGAAAAAATTTGGGAAGGAGATACAATTGTGGCATTAAGCATAATATTAATAGAGTAAACAGTCAACACATAACATTCTTAGCATCTTCAGCTCCCTCGATTGCTGGAAGCAGAAATACGGACAACTCTCACACTTCAAACCAGTCTCCTCTGATGCAGCATGTGGAGTGCTTCCCTTTTTACTCAAGTTCTGCCCGCACGTACAAACGCGAGCACAAACACGCACACACACACACTAAATATGCCTTATGCTGCAGGGTTAAAGCAGCTCATCTACTGTTGTGCATGTGCAGAATGAGGCCAGTGTTCTCAAAGGCTGCAGCCAGGTGCCAGTTATACTTTCCGGTTTCTTTGCAGGGCCAGTGGAAAAGCAGGAGTTTGGGTGCAGGGGGGCAGTAATATGGGGAGGAAAGGAACAAGACAGGGAGCAACTGAAAAGGAGAAAAACAGTAGCTCCTCTGTTTTAGCTTAGGTCACTAAGATACGCAGCTACTTTCTTAACAGCCATCTGTACAAGTGAATGCAAATAGTAGCAAATATCAAAGGACGGTTGGTTACCTTAAAGACAATGATTTACTCACCTCCTGCTGCTTCAGTATAGGTGAAAGTAGACAATTACAAACTAATTAGCCTGATGGATGATTATCTATTGGTTCTAATTTTCTAAAATTACTCAACAGTGAACATGTTAAAACAAAAATTCCTTATGGTTTAACTTAATCAATATGGTCTACATCATGATAACCATTTTAATCTTTTAACTAAAATTTGATTAAACTTCCTACCTAGCCAGGGACTACAGATGAAAATTAGCCTCTTGGCTAACTCTGGCATATTTACAGTTTGTTATCAATATGCACTGTCCCTGACAACTTATAATACCAATGAACAGAAAATATACAGTATAAACAGGATTTCACAAAGAAGGTAAATAGAATATTGAAATTGCAAAACACAAATCTAAAAATAAATAACTATCACTATAGCTAAATTATTTACGTCTCTTGTAAAATAATCTTTTTACAAGAAAATCGTCAAAACACTGAACCATTTTTCTTACCATAACCTGCGTCATGCCATGTTAATCTTTTGTGTATATTTGATCTTAGTTCAGGTCAGTACAGTACATTCACTGTGTTATTGATTATCACATAATTTATGGCATAATTCAACCTGCATCATATCCATCATATTGAGCAGTATAGTATGATCTTTTCATAACATATTTGTAGCACCTTGATATATTGATAACCTGATGAATCACTCTGGCCACAATGGTCCCACATGACTGCCACTGTGGAGCAAATGCAATCCTTTGCCAGTAATGGGAGAAAGAATGAATAAGAACAAGATGTTTAGCTAAAACAGTTTAAGAATTTTTTTTCTCAAATCAGCTATATTGAAAGGCAACTATGAGCCATTTTGTGATTACCTGGCTCAGAGAAGCTTGTACCAACCATTTCTTTAAGAAAACAAAAGTACTATATCAACCATCTTATTCATACACAAAGCAGTATTTACAATACCTATCCAAATATCAATACTTACTCACTCAAGTGAATAAAGTACTCTGCATTAACACATAGGTCATAAGGCTCAATCTGATGTGGTCATTAATATTTTGTATATTGTCGTTTTCCAAAGCCTCCTAAATAAAGAGCTGAAATAAAGATATATTTTTTCATTCCAAAACCATGGAGTATACATTTACATCCATTTTGGACATTTCCTGCTTTTTTTTTTAAACATGCAAGTTAAACATGAAAGGTATTTACAATCATTTCCTAACTGCAGAAAATGATGTGAGGAATTTGTATCCCAAGATGAGCAGAAAATAAGACCTTGGGGAAGCACTATTCAGCAACTTTGTATTGTGGCTGTCCATGTTTAAAGCAGTAGTGCAGGAATAAAATATTTATGATTCTTTTTAATTTCATGCAACATAAAGAGAATTATACTGTAGAGAGCAGGCGAGCAGCAACACCCGGAGGTGACCTTGTTTTTTTCTTTGCCATTTCTTGTGAGACGTTTTAAAAAAAAAAAAAAAATTTAATTCAAATCCTGATTTATAGTCAATCCGGCAAGGTTGCAAGTTATTGCTGAAACATATCTACACAAACTGGAAGTCTCCCTGGATATTACTGCATGATATACAAATAAGCATATACAGGTATAAATAGGCTGTGCACAATTTCCCTGCATGCCTCCTGAAATAAAAGATATCTTTGTAGCAGGAAAGTCAAGCTCTCTGAGTTTCCAAGTAACAGTGATCTAAGAGCTATATTTCAGCGACAACAGAGCTTAGTCGATATGGGGTGACAGAGACCTTTATACAGCGGAGACCATGACTGATGTTGCATGTGTTAGATGCCAAGGAATAATGTGTGCAACATGAGCACAGAAAAAAACTGGAAGGGCACTCAGAGAGCGCATTCCTTCACCTAGGCCCAACAGTCCCCTTATGAATCCACATTTAAATTCACTAGATATGGATTTTTATGTGCGCCAAATTGTACACACTCATTAATATCAGTCCACAAAACATGCCTGAGTTCTGCATTAAGATCTATGAGTTATTATGTGAAAAATGCTGTATCACGTGGAATATAAAAAATAAAATTGACTCGCCCCAATTTTTAATGGGTTTTTGACTCATCCACATCTTTTTTGTTGTAATCAGTCTAGTTTTTGCAGAATCCTTCTGACTTACAGACGAATCCATGGTGGAGTTAAAAATCAGTAACAGGCATGATCAATATCAGACCACCAAACAGTGGTTTGAAAGACAGGTACACTAATTACATTGTAAGATGTGAAGTTATAAAATCAAGTCCCTTCCATACAAACGCTCATGACAAACGTTTCACTAATCTTCTTTGAAATTACATAGCCTCCTCCTGAGAAATGCTGCATATACATAACCCTCAGACACAGAAGCTTTGAGTGTTTTAATTTGTTCCAAATCTGCAGACTGACATTTCCATTTCCCCTCTATTTAAACTGTTAACATGATGCTTCCCGGACTAATATTTTGAGTATAAAGAGGAAAGGCATTTTTCCTTAATCAAACAATGGTGGCAGTTTACGGGTGGCTCTCTGGACTCTAACCCCCTCCTTATAGCTACATATCTAAATTTACAAGCAAACCAAACCACTAACTGTTGACAATCTTAAAAGAAGAATAGAACTAGAATGAATAATCCATCAATCAGCACAAGATGTATTACAATTATTTTGTTATGTTTTCTCTTGTTTTGTCACTTATCAATTGAAATGGCTTGATGGGTTTGTCTTGTATTATTGTAAATTAATGATTTTATTGGTTTTAGACTTGGTAATAAAGGTTGCTTCATTTGCACTCTTGCTTTGTTGTGTGATCTCTTCAGAATGACAGGTGCTTTACCACAACTCTATAGCACTGTCTGACTCAGATTTAATTGGCCCCAGTCTTATATATTTTTCTTACAATGTCATGGTTCAGTAATGCTGGCAAGCAATACGATCCAAACGAAAACATAAGGGCACAGCAGTTTTTTGAGGCAGTCAACTGAGGAGAGGTTGCAGGAAAAGGAAAAAATAGACAGCAGCAATTTTTATGCACAAAATATAACAAATGGCAAAAAGGACGGTGAAGAGTCATCTTTTTATAGCTTGGTGCAAATAACCAAACAAAAAAGAAAAACAACAGTAAAAGATACAGTATGTATGTTCGCTAGCAGAGATGACAAATTAACTGGTGTGACTAGCTCAGGAATAGATTGAGATGCTGTAAGTATTTCTGAGTATTTTCAGTATTCCTGATTCTTGATCGAAGTAGAACTTCAAGGGATAGCGAAGTGAAACTCCCAAAGTGTTTTGTGAACTCAAATAATTAACCCACCCCTCCATCGGCATCGTGGCGAGTAGATAATGAGTGAATTTTCATTTTTTGGTGAACTATCCCTTTAATGACTGGTGTTCTGCAGTATAACAATTGGTGGTCAGTATAAAAACACAGTAAATTAAAAACGGCACGAGTGTTGAGTTTCAGGACTTCAATGGAGAGAATCTGGTGAATAATCCAGTGACTGTGAACCTACAAGCACCAGAAAATGTTCATCTTCTCCTCTGTGGATGTATTCACCATATCAAAAGAGGAATATGATAATATAAGTATTAACTTACTTCCTTATACAAGAGAGAGCTGCTAATTGCTGCCAAGTATCATCGAGCAAGGCAACATAATTTACTTAGAATCCAGAGAGCCTGTTGTTCCTGAATTAATGGTTTGAAATCCAATGTTGCTAACTCAATCATGAAACTATATCAACTGTAATGGAGAGGCTGCGGGGGAAAGACACCTGCTGAGTGATGCTGCATGCGTGATACATGATGCAGTAATAAAACAGTAAGGGTCTGTCTTCCTTGTGGATGATGCAAGTGCATGTGGACCCTCTCTCTGAAATTAAGTGGACAAGGCTTTTTGTGCTCCAGCGTGGTGCCGTCAACTCTGCTTCGGCCCCTGAGTCAATTCCTTGATAATGACACTAAGGAGAGTTTACAAAACAAATTATAGTGATGGAGCGTCAGATTACATCAGTCCTTTAGTCCACAGTCTGTGGAAGAGATTAGTTTACAGGCTGGATTTACAGTAAAGAGTGTGTGTCCATGTCCATCTGAGCATTTATGTGTCAATCTGCTGTTTAACTCTAAAAGAACATAGTTTTTTTCATTTAAAGCTACTTAAATTTAAGTAAAAAGATAGATTTTCTGATTTATATCAAAGATAAAGAACTTAA